GACAACAAAGCAGCTAGTCGGGATTACAGGCCAAAATACAGAGGCAGTCTAAGCCTGGAAGACCCCTGAACTCACTGCAGAAGACAAGCAACCAAGTAACAGATACCAGAATAAGACACTAATTTGAGTAAGTTCTCTACAGAAATAACTCAAATGTCTAAGGGTTCAAAGAAGGTAGAGAGTAGGTTCAACTGCATCAAGAAAAGCTTTATAAACCAGGTGGAGTCTAAGGCAGGAGACACCAAGTGGATCCCGTGAGGGGAGGGCCTGCCAGGTGTAGGAAACAAAATGAACACACACTGAAGAGAGTGCAAAGCGTTTACATTAGGTTGGACCATATGAATGTGCTAACATGCAACAGCTTTCACTCTGATGTACAAGGGAAGGCTGAAGCCACAGGGAACCTAAGAACCCTAGGAAGAATGTACACGTAGAGGCAAAGGGGAAACCAGGAACCAAGAATTAGGAAGAAAACAAGAGTTATGGTGTGATGGGAGCAGAGGGAAGAAAACATCTTGAGGTGGTGAACAGGGACGAAAGCCACAGGCAGGCTGAAGAGGCTGAAGCTGGAGGAAATGCCACTGGGCTTGGTGAACGGGCATCCATGGCTGTGAGACACAGACCGAAGAGCCAGAAGTTCAGAAAGCAACCTCTGGACGTAGCGCTCAATGCAGGCTATTCCACGGTTCTGTCTGCCCCTGCTTTCTCGAGGAACTGTGAGCAAGAAGCTCTGAAACACAAGTTGGTGTGGACCCTGGGGAATTTACTCTGAACACTGGTTTCCAGAAACGTACACTACACAGAACAATCACCTCAAAAAAGAGTGGCTGAGTCAGATCAGAAAGTGCATTTTCAACAAAAAGCCACTTCTTCTGAATTAGCTGCAATTTACTTTTTATTTTTTTTTAAGATTTTATTTATTTATTTGACAGTGAGAGAGACAGCGAGAGAGGGAACACAAGCAGGGGGAGTGGGAGAGGGAGAAGCAGGCTCCCCGCTGAGCAGGGAGCCCGATGTGGGGCTAGATCCCAGGACCCTGGGACCATGACCTGAGCCGAAGGCAGACGCTTAACCGACTAAGCCACCCAGGTGCCCCTGACCAATAAGCTTTCAATAAACAAAACTATGTCAAAAAGCTCCAAGTATTACACACGAATCATATTCTCTTCTATCCTCTGAGCTACATTCCAGAAATCACACGTAATATACTAGCTTTAAGTAAGAAAACCATTCAGCTGCAATAGGCCTATTACCTCACCTGCAAAACAAACATGCTACACCAGGTAACTTCTAAGTTCTAAAATTCCGTGACTTTCACAAAACTGGTGTAAAAGAATGTAGTCATAATTAAGTTTTAGAAATGAATTGTAAATGTGCTAAGTCTACTTTGTCTTGATATGAAATGTTGATGTTACTATATACCTGTTCTGCATTTTTTTCTTTGATCTCAGACAAAAAGTTACATGGCTGTTTGCCAATACTGAATTTTAGTTATTAAAAGATTAAAATCCTTTTTCTTATCAGAGTCCACTCTACATATCATGAATAATATTGGACCAAAATTCTAACTGTATTACCTAAAATAATAAGTTAACAAGATATCCTAACTGTTTATCTTATTGGGGGAGACTATTGTGAAAATAAACTTTTTTTTAAAAAGATTTTTAGATTTATTTATTTATCTGACAGAGAGAGAGAGTGCGCACAAGCAGGGGGAGCTGCAGGGAGAGGGAGAAGCAGACTCCCCGCTGAGCAAGGAGCCCAGCGTGGGACTTGATCCCAGGACCCCAGGATCATGACCCGAGCCAAAGGCAGATGCTTAACCGACTGAGCCCTCCACGCGCCCTGGAAACAAACTTTTAATACTTCATTTAAAACACCAAACTGGCTAGGATTTAAAATAGGGATGCCTACGAAACTGAGCACTATGAAAAATGGTGTACTTTAGGCAGTTCCATGTGATTATCATTGAGCCACCATGTGGTGGTTTTAAAAGTGGTCCAAAGATCCTTTGATCCTTTTTTAAGATGTGGAAGTTAATTCCCCTGTTCCCTAGCTCAGGTCAGACTTCCTGACCCCGTGAGGAATGCACTAAGGCCGATGAGATGGTGTGTGACTACTGAGGGTCACAGAAAGCACTGGAGCGCTCTCCTTGCGCTCTCCCCTACAGATCACTGGCTCTGGGGGAAGCCAGCTGCCATGCTGGGAGGGCACGCCAACAGCCAAATGGAGATGCAAGGAACTGAGGCCTCCAGCCAACAGACACGTGTGTGGGCCAGCCTGCAGGTAATCTGAGAGCCCCTGAGCCAGAATTACCTAGTGAAGCACTCCCAAATTCCTGACCCACAGAAACTGGGATCTAATAAATCTTTAAAGCTTCAAGCTACTGAATTTTGGGGAAGTTTTTCTACACAGCGATTCATGACTGATGCAGATTTTGGTACCTAGATGTGGGATGCTGCTCTAACAAAAACCCAAACCGTAGGAAGGGCTACAGAGCCCAGGTAATGGGCAGGCGTTGGAAGGCAGGAAGGACCGTGTCAGCAAGAGCCTGAAGAAACTGTCAGGAGGAGTCACAGAGCCACTGAGGAGGCTGCGGGTTGGCTGCAGGACGGTGAGGGAAATGCTGTTGGAACCCAGAGGAAAGGGATCCCTGCTCTGCCACGGCACAACGCTGAGCAGCACTGGGTCACCTCCTTTAAAGCAAAACCAGGGAAGTGCCTGCTAACAGGGTGCGAGCTAGGAAGACATCTGGGAGGGTCTGAAGGTATTTGCTGTCTGCAGTACAACATGAGCAGACACTGAAACCAGAGACATTTCTTTTCCTTTTTTTTAAAAGATTTTATCTATTTATTTTGACAGAGAGAGACACAGCGAGAGAGGGAACACAAGCAGGGGGAGAGAAGCAGGCTTCCCACTGAGCAGGGGGCCCGACGTGGGGCTCGATCCTAAGACCCTGGGATCATGACCTGAGGCGAAGGCAGACGCTTAACAACTGAGCCACCCAGGCGCCCCTGAAGACATTTCTTATAAGGAGCCAGGACTTCATGGTTTTGAAGACCCCTAACTTCTAGAAGGCAAATGACATGAAATTTAAGAAATGGCCTCTAAGCAAAGATCCAATCTAAGACACAGGAAAACACGGTCTAGAGCAAGTGTTGGTCAAGCTGGGCCCCAAAGATCAAATCCAGGCTGCTGCCTATTTATGTGTACACTGCTGGTTAAGAGTATCTTTTATGGTTTGAGATGGTAGTAAAAATAAAAAGATGGTTTTGTGACATGGACATATTATGTGAAATGCAAACCTCAGTGTCTGGCTAATAATTTTATTAGAACACAGCCTCCCTCACTAGCTTACGTATCACCTGTGGCTGCTTTCACAAGGCAGAGTGGAATCCCTGCAACAGATAATTACTGTCTGATCTTTAACAGAGAAGTTCGTAGACCTCAGTCTAAATATAAAGCAAAACCCTTTGTTAAGACCCTAGCCATAGCTCAGAAACCTCAACTGTTTGGCCAGTGAGGCTCATAAGGACTTTACAGGTGGTGTCTCAGTAGAAGCCCACAGTAAAATGACTGGTGGCTTCTGCCTCATGGGAGTGAACCTCAAGAAGATCACAGGAGACCCACAAATATTTTAAGAGAAATATATTAGCAGAAACACCCCTTGGATTAACAGGTACATTCTACAATGACAAGGCTTTTGGATGCCCACATTTCTACAAGCAAAAAGCAGGCTGAGAAAATCACTCAGCCACAAACGCACACCACCATTCACAAAAAAGGAAGGATGATCCAGAAGGCAGAGTCAAGAACCCACAGAGAATTATTACCTGGCCTGTGGTTCTAATTCAGAGCTGCGACGGACCAGTGACCCCTGTGCCTCGTGCTTCCCTCAGGTGAACAGCAGGGCTTCCAGTGGCCATGCTGTGCTTGCCCCACCACTGTGTGTTCGCGGAGGAACAGGTGACTTGTCCTCTAGGTCACAGTTCTTGTCTGTCTCTGATCAGAAGGACTGCACTCATGGTGCTGTACTCAAGGAAGTGCGACCATTAGGCCTCATTTGCTTCTAGATCTGATTTGGACGACAGCACCCCAGCTTCTGAACAGATAATGTGAAAGTGAGGCTTCTGGGCCATCGAGGGAGGGGTGAGCGTATTGTGCATGTGGCCAGAGTGTAAACAATCTGGCTAGTGGGCAGTTTATGGCAGTTTTAAATATGCCCACATATTCCTCGTTACTTCTCCCTTTAAGAGGTGTTGTTTTCAAGCCACCTCCCCACATCGAAGTATATGGGTTGGACTTAGTGACTTGTTTCAAGAAAACTGAATAAGGCGGATTGTCAGTGTGTGACTTAAACTAGGTCATAAAATACACTGTGGCCTCCTCCTTCTCTTTGGGGCCACCTGCTCTGGGGGAAGACACCATTCCCAAACAGCCTTCACCTAGTTTCCTGGCACGGCAACACCTTCTGTAACTATGGCACAGTCATCAGATAAAAGGTTAACATCACTCCATTACTATTAACTAAGCTCAAGCCTCGTTCTCATTTCCCGTTTCTCCACTGACTGTCTTTTTTGCTCCATGATCTAATTCAGTACACCACACTACCTTTACTGACTTTAAGAGTAGGAAAATGAAGGCATTAAGCCAGGCAGGGTTACTGGTTGCTCCATGTACTTGCCATATTTATCAAACTGATAGTGTGACGGCGCAGGCACAGGAAACAGAGGCTCTACAACACTAGAGTAGTGTCGTGGACTGAATCGCTGCCCCCAAAAAGATATGTCCAGGCCCTAATTTCTAAAACCTGTGAACATTACCTTATTTGGAAAAGTAAGTTATGAAGTACCTTGCAAAGAAGAGATCACCCAGAGTAATCTATCTATTACTCTCTATTTCTCTCAAGGTCTGAAAGAGATTAATCCCTATGATCCTGCGACAGAGAGTAGTAGCTGATTTACCTTCCCTTTGGTTTATCATCGGTCTTCCTTTCGTAAGTGGCGTGGTCATGCCTCGTTGGATCATAATGTACGACATCCCTGTGTAAACAAGACAGGAGTAAGCTGGCAGACAGAAATCAGAGCCGAATGCAAAAAAGTAATAGCAAATTTTAATTCAACATCGGGACAATTCCAATTTTTTTTTTTTTTAAGATTTTATTTATTTGAGAGAGCACAAGCAGGGGGAACAGCAGGCAGAGGGAGAAGCAGGCTTCCCGCCAAGCAGGGAGCCCGATGTGGGGCTCGATCCCAGGACCCTGGGGTCATGACCTGAGCGTAAGGCAGACACTTTACAGACTGAGCCACCCAGGCGCCCCAGGACAATTCCAATTTTTGAGCAAGACAAAACCACACAATCAAAGAAAACTATCAGGATCTTGTTAGAAGGTCATATTTTATAAGTTACCTAGTTGTGAGTTTCCCTGAGTCTTTTTTTTAACATTAAAAAATTAATTTACACATACTAAAATAAATACGGATAAAACCGGATCTGCATAAAATATTTTAGTGGGGAAAGCAGGGGAAAGTGAGTAAAGGTATAGAAAGGAAAACTGGGGGCTCCTGGCTGGCTGTCTGTAGAGCATGTAACTCTTGATCTCAGGGTCGTGTGTTCAAGACCCTGTTGGGTGTAGAGTTTATTTTAAAGAAAAAAAAAAACCCCTAAAAAAACAAAAGAAAGGAAAATTGATCACATGTTGGTGACTACAGAAGCTGGTATACAGGGCTTTCTAAACACCAGTCTCTACAAATTATGTGTTTAAAATTTTCTGTAATGAAAAATTACATTGATAGAGTTCTACAGTTAATATTTAAACCATCTGTCCAAGCTGCTTCACTATTGAAAGCAAGGCTGCTATGACACCTAAGCACAAAAATAGAGAAAAAATTTAAAATTAGTTTCTTGAACTGCGCCACTGGGTCCAAGATAAGTATGTTTGTAAGGGTCTGATACATTCTGCCAACTGCCCTCCCCAGGACGTCTAAAAGGGCCTAGTTTTAAACCAAGTTCAATAATGAAAACAGGGTGGAACGGGATGGAACATAAGCCATACCTAAATTTCTTGGCAGCTACCGATCCTTTGTGTGCAGAATTGCTCACGGTGGTGTGCAAAACACTCTGCATGACGTTCAGGGCTTTGAGCTTCTCTGCAGCAAGTTCCTCTTCCTCTGCTGTTCTCTCGTCATTTACCTCTTAGAGGGAAAGGGCTAATTAGTAATCTCTTGGCAAACGTAGCTTGAGCAGTCTCAATCATCAAATAATCATAAAGCACCTAAACATGGGCAAAGCACACTGAAAGAGGAAAAAGAAAAGTCTAACCCTGTTTTCCTAACCTCCCTAACCCCATGACTCTCAATGCCACAGGGAATCCAGAAGTCACATGACCAACAAATGAAAAGTCCCATTTCCACCTGTAATTATGAAAGCAAAATCTACAGTTGATGGCTTTCAGTGGCAAATCAAAGTTCTTAAGGCAAAGATCGACAAATGCAACAGAGCAAGATACTAATCACAAAACCACAGTGATTACAGACTGATTTTTTACTACTCTAAAAATGTTAAATTACCTATCAACCTAAAAATGAAAGGTAGTGAAGGATGGCAATTCTCCTGACTTAATAACACCTTACAAAAAGTTGCTCGGCCTCTGCTTCAGTAACAGATGCTGCAGGAAGAGAGCCATGGGTCCTATACACACAGGGCACTGTGGGCCCAAATGCTGTTATCTTCAACTACAGGAAACACAAACATCAGACAACAAAGCAGCTAGTCGGGATTACAGGCCAAAATACAGAGGCAGTCTAAGCCTGGAAGACCCCTGAACTCACTGCAGAAGACAAGCAACCAAGTAACAGATACCAGAATAAGACACTAATTTGAGTAAGTTCTCTACAGAAATAACTCAAATGTCTAAGGGTTCAAAGAAGGTAGAGAGTAGGTTCAACTGCATCAAGAAAAGCTTTATAAACCAGGTGGAGTCTAAGGCAGGAGACACCAAGTGGATCCCGTGAGGGGAGGGCCTGCCAGGTGTAGGAAACAAAATGAACACACACTGAAGAGAGTGCAAAGCGTTTACATTAGGTTGGACCATATGAATGTGCTAACATGCAACAGCTTTCACTCTGATGTACAAGGGAAGGCTGAAGCCACAGGGAACCTAAGAACCCTAGGAAGAATGTACACGTAGAGGCAAAGGGGAAACCAGGAACCAAGAATTAGGAAGAAAACAAGAGTTATGGTGTGATGGGAGCAGAGGGAAGAAAACATCTTGAGGTGGTGAACAGGGACGAAAGCCACAGGCAGGCTGAAGAGGCTGAAGCTGGAGGAAATGCCACTGGGCTTGGTGAACGGGCATCCATGGCTGTGAGACACAGACCGAAGAGCCAGAAGTTCAGAAAGCAACCTCTGGACGTAGCGCTCAATGCAGGCTATTCCACGGTTCTGTCTGCCCCTGCTTTCTCGAGGAACTGTGAGCAAGAAGCTCTGAAACACAAGTTGGTGTGGACCCTGGGGAATTTACTCTGAACACTGGTTTCCAGAAACGTACACTACACAGAACAATCACCTCAAAAAAGAGTGGCTGAGTCAGATCAGAAAGTGCATTTTCAACAAAAAGCCACTTCTTCTGAATTAGCTGCAATTTACTTTTTATTTTTTTTTAAGATTTTATTTATTTATTTGACAGAAACAGACAGCGAGAGCAGGAACACAAGCAGGGGGAGTGGGAGAGGGAGAAGCAGACTCCCCGCTGAGCAGGGAGCCCGATGTGGGACTCGATCCCAGGACCCTGGGATCATGATTTGAGCCGAAGGCAGACGCTTAACGACTGAGCCACCCAGGCGCCCTGCAATTTACTTTTTAATTTCAAGTTTAGAATGCAGAAGATGGGAATGGCAACTAGAAATCCGGCAGAGTGGAAGGAATGGCTTTTTTGGGGACCTGAGGCCTGTGTCCGCAGAAAGAAGGGCAGGATGAGCACTCCTGTGAGTGGGGGTAACAGGAAGTACGAATGGTGAGGCCTAAGGCTCGGGGTAGATTAACTCAGGAAGGAGAGAAAAAGGAGTGAAGATAGAGAAGTCCAGAGACGGGAGAGGCAAGCAGGGGCCTCACGTGAAGGGCCGCCCTCCTGGCCAGGCGGGAGGTGAGGGCTTTCTGGAAGGGTAAGAGAATAGGTCATGTGGAGACAGTCTGGAACTGCTGTGAAGGATGAAGTCCTAGAGAGCATCACTGGCTGGGAGATGCACCCGCATCGGGAGGACTCCAAGCAGAAGGGCACTCCGTGTGCACTGCTGCTCCAACACCTGCCCCGGCATGCACCCTGGAGGGAAGGCGATGCTCAACTTCTCCCCCAACCTCCCCCGCTGCACTACTGCCAGGTGTCTTCCCCCGCCCCCCGGCCAGGGACAGGACGGAGGAAGACTGTCTTTGTGGATGCTATCCTCTCCTGTCCTTTTGGGCAGCTTCAAGCTCAAGGAGGACTGTGTAAGCAGCCCAGGGGTCACAGGCCTCACAGTTCCAAGGCTTGGGGCGCAGTTTCTCCTAGACCAGATGACTTCTCAGGGCCCCCCAGCTCTGACAGCAGGACTGTTTGGACAGGGAGGTATTTACCTTCCTGTTCCTCTTCACTGTCACTTTCCAGAAATCGGGAGTCCATGCGGAATCTGTCGTCAGTGCCAAAGTGAGACTGCAAGTCCAGGAGCTACACAGACACATGGACAGTTGGGAGCCATGTTCCCAAGACCACGCTCCCACAGAAGACCCTCCAAGCGCACCTCCTTCACCCTGGAATTCACTACATTAGTGTTTGTATAACCTCACCGACCCATGAACCATCCAAATAAGCCTGCACTTACCCGGACGGAAACACCATGTCAGCAACAAGGACATGTTGTAGGTGGGATTATTTTCAGTCTTCACTAACCTTCTGCCCAGCTCTGCCCTCAAACTGAGGTTTAATTCTGAACCTGTGACTGTCGTCTTCGGAGCCAGCTTCTTCATCTTCACTGCTGTCAAAGAGCCTCCCAGATGCTCTGCTCACGGACTCCTGGAACACAGATGCACACAGAAGTGCTTATTAACAACGGAGGTGATCTGCAATCCCTTCTTTACAGTCTTCCTCTCACACTGAAGACCCAGAAACCCAGCTGCATCTCCCAGGACTTGGGTCACTAATCTGGAGGCTCCCTGTGCAGTCTGCATTGGGGGAGGGGTGCAGTTACTACAGAGGACACTTTCTGCAGGGTTGCACTAGTACTGATGCCTCCTGGCAGATGATGTGGAGGACAGATTCCCGTGGGGGAAAATCTCCAAGGTCCCTGGTATCGGTATGTGTGGTGGTCGGGGGTGCCGGGGGGCTCACTGTGGCTCAGGAGGACTTGGTGTTGAACGTGGCAGTTGTCGGAGGTCTTGGTATGCAGGAGGCAGAAATGGACCTGAGAGAGTGGTGGAAAAGCCCGCATGGACTTCCCGAGCTACTTACCTTCAGGGGCTCCTCTCCCATGTGGTTTTGCTCCTCTGTCTCGCTGTCAGAGCCAAAGATGATGTGTGTTGGCTTGCCCTCTGGATGACCATCCTAGAGCAGTTGACAAAGGCACCATACCTTAAGACAGCCCCTTCTCATCCCTTAGAGTGAACGCCACCATCCACGTGTTTCCCAAGATGGAAACTTAAGACTTCTTCCTCTCCATGTCCAGTTGGTCCCCAAGTTCCAGGTGTGGACCCTGCTGCTATCTTTTAAGTCTATTCCCACTGTCACTACCTTGGTTCTGGCTAATTACCTCCCAAAGACTCCCTGGTTCCAGATTTCCCAATTTGACCTGTTGTTTGTCATGGCCTAAACAATCTTTCCCAGCTCCAAGGCTGGTACATGTTTTCTGTAAAGGACCAGAGAGTAAATATTTTAGGTTTTGCAAGCCACATATAATCTTGGTTCTTCTTTTTAAAAACCCTTTATAAATGTAAAAACGTTCTTCGCTTGAAGGCTGTACCAAAATGGGCCATAGGCTGGATGGCTTGTGAGCCTCGGTGTGCAGATTCCTGTTCCATTATATACACAGTGAGTCTTCACCCCTTTCCTTTCCACAGTCACAGAATAAAGTCCAACCTCCACAGCCTTCCCACCACTTGCCCTGCTCCTCTCTCGAGCATCTGCATCCGCCATACATCTGTTACACTGACTGCAAACTGCTCCCCTCCCATGCAATGCCTTTCCTCTCCCTTCCCGCCCTCCTGCCTCTGCCCAACCAGTTCACACTGATCCTTCTACCTCAGACTCCATTCAGGTTGAGGAAGCCCCCTGCCCTTCCTCGTGGTGCCCAGACTGGGAGAGCACTCACCAAGTCTGCCAGGGCATTATGAACCAGCTTCTTCCGCACTTCCTTTGCTTTCTGCCTTGCGTCCAAGGCTGCCAAACGCTTCTGATTGTCTTCAGCATGCTTCTCCTTAGTGTGAACATGGGACCAACTGTTCACGGAAAGTGGGAAGTTGGTGTTGCTTCCCTGAGCATCTCTGCTGGAGGAGCCCTCTGGTGCTTTCCCAGGCGCCGGGTGGCTGCTCTGTCCAGAGCCCTCTCCGGTCTCCCCGGTCCTGCGGCCGCAGTCTTCATCAAAGTCTACCTTGGGGGTCTTTGCACCAAGACTTAAATATTTATCTTTTAATGGCAAAAGACTAGAAATAGGATTCCTAACTCCCTCTTCCAAACTGCTAGGGGACACCATCTTGTGATCCTGGCTCTGGAAAGTAGAACGTCTCTTTTGAGGCTGAGTTTGGTTTGGGTCATTTGTCTTCTTTGCATGTTGGAGAGGAGTTAGTTTGCTTGATGGGGACCCCTTCTCCATGGACATGCTACTGGGATCAAGTTTCAAGGAATTCTGACCTTTATTTATATCGTCAGAAGTGACAATGTCTTTCAAGGGTTTTTTTATTGATTCCTTTCCGTAGAGACAGCCTACTCCCTTGAAAGCCTGGAATTTTGGCTTTAAGTTGTTTCCCTTTGGTTTCTGTTTTCCACAGGTGTTCTCTTCTCCTTCTAAAAGGGCAGCCACAATGTCCTCGGGACAGATACATGGCTGGGCTGCTCTGTGCAGGCCACCCAGAGTCCTGTCACACTTGGCGGTGGTCTCCTGGCCACTGCTCTCAGGATCTTCTTCTGGAGCCTGCAGGACGCCGCCAGCCAACTGTTCCAGACCAGCTAAGGTGAGCCGCACACGGGGGCAGTTTTGCATCATGGCATCATAGTCCTCATCTCCCGAAGGCTCGGCAGATTCTGACGCAGAACCTGCCTCTGCCCTGCTGCTGTAGTGGGCTGTAACCCTGGGACTGATGGCTTGCTCTGGGTTGGTCTTTCTTTTTTGCGCTTTAACACAGTTCTTTCTACTTTTCAAAAACGTTTTCTTGTGTGCAGACTTTTCCATTTGTGAAAACTCTGCATTGTTTTTGACCTCACTGGTCCTTTTCTTTGCTGTGATGATCTCATCCGTATCTCCTGAATCATAGTTGCAGTCGTTTCCCACGGCATTCCCATTCCCATCCCGGCAGGACACATTACTGACACCTAAAGCTGTTACAGAACGCAGCTTATGAACACCTGATGTGAAGTCCCCCCGTACGACTTCAAAGGGCTCATTTCCAGAGTCACCCACTGAGGACCATGTGGTTTTCCCCAGGCTTTCCTCTCTTGCGATCAGTAACCGCATCTCTTCTTCAGACATGTGATTTCTGTGCCTGGTAGCTCCTGGGCCAGAAGTCTGAACAAACACACTGTTAAGTTTCTGGCTATGAGGAGCAGGAACACAGGGTAACTGAGCAGGAACGGGTTTACAGAGTGCTTCCTGTGCCACCTCCTGCTGTGTGGGGTACAGACTGCCCGGGACCATGCGGGGTCTTGCTCTCACAGCTGGAAAAGCAGCGGATGCCTCGTCCTTTTGTGCTTTGATCACCTCCTGGGGGGTGCTGTGAACAGCACAGAACTCCCCTCGTCGCTTCTTACTCATAGGGTCATCCCCTCCTTCCAGTTCCCAGGTAAGGCTGGACACAGGGGTGGCATGAGCGACATCCTCTGCGATCTTCTTTAAGTTGTGGCAGTATTTTGATGGGTCATACTTCATGATGTTACCAGAGTCAAGGAACAAAACAGAGGCACTAGGTTTTAGGAAAACCCATCAATGTGGTGAAGCACAAGGAGTACTGTTTGACCTCGAGCAGGTCACTTACTCGGCCTACTCTCCATTTCCCATCAAACAAGAAGAGCACTTCGCTGGGTGACCTCAGGATCTGTGGCACTGGCATGTTCAGAGTTAAAACAGCACCATCACGGTTAACTGGCAGAACAGCAAACCCATACGGGTTCTATTCTAGGTACAGGGGCCACATGCAGTTTTCTGTAAATCTGAGTTGATACTGTAAAGCAGAGTACAGAGGGGCACCCTGCAGGGCACAGCTGGATGCTGCATGTCCTTTACTCCCACTGCTTTTGGCTATTCCTGCCTCCTCAGTCCTGGTGCATCCTAGCTCGGGTTCTCCCAGCCCAGTAACATCCATTCCATACTCTGCTCACTCTCTGCATCTTGTAGGTCTTTATTAGGAGGCTAATAATTCTTTCCTAGGCCTGTTTTGTTGCTGACATTGTCCAGAAAAAGTCTAGTTAATGTCAAAGTGCTGTGACGACAGCTAGCATTTGCTGGTTTCCTAACACATATGAATAGGCAAGTGTAAGTTGCTTTCAGTGATCACTCCTGAAAAGTCCTTCTGGACTTTTAGTTAAGAACTAAATTAGCATCTGGTAACTACTGAACGTGAGCCAAAAACATGAGATGTGCCAGGCAGTGTCTGTTGTCAGCTTCACACTGTCCTTCAACGTCCTCCTCTTTGCTGTTGGTGGCTGCCACAGAGGGAAGGCTGAGAGGAAGTGAGCTTTCACAGACGTCAGCGCCATTGGCGGGAGAGCAGAAGCAGGTGTGGCCAGTTCTCCAGGGGTCCCAGGGCACAGCAGCCTTGAGCAATGAAGACACCCCCCCACCTCTGCTTTTCTAGCCCCAGGGTGGTAGCGGTCTGCTGCAGTTATTAATCTCGGACCACCTGACCATCAGCTGCATGCTCCCCCAGCACTTGCTGAATTCAACTGTTTGTACTGCATCCCCTTGGGAACACCTGGAGCTGCTTGTTTCCTTGACTGGCACACAGGGTTACAGCTGACCCACAAGTCCACGATGCTGGGAATTCAAGGTCCCAGACAATCTGACTTCATTTCCTCAAGGGAACAGGCCTCCATGTTTGCTTGTCCAGGATGCACACTACTTCTCCACCCACCATTCTCCTGCCCATCTACATATTCCTACCTACTGCTTTCCTCCTGCCTGGTCTTCTTCCCACCACCTTCTACCAATGTAAACCATGCCCCACCTCCTCCAGCGCCTTCTTCAACCACAGCAGAGCCCCCTCGCCCTTCTTTAGCACCTTGGGCAATGGCTTTGAATCCATGTCAATCAAGACGGGGGATGTAAAAGTTAATCAGTACAAGTGCTTCTCTGACAAGTGTCACTTTTGTCACTCACTGGTAAAAAGCCTCCTCACAGTCTCATGAACCTCTCATTGTTTCACACGTGGAAGCAGGTAGGTCATACCTTGCCTAGAAATGGAGAGCATAACATTTAAGCATCTAAGATTTACTGACAGAGGCAGGGAAATTCTAGTGGGATGAAGTGAACTTCTGCAAGTATCCATCACTGTGGTAAATAATAGTTACTCTGAAAGGCCAAACTGCAAAGGATATTTTACGTTTATGTTGATTCTTTAGGTGAAGGACAGGTAATACTCTTCCAAATTTACTCACAACCCAATTCTAAAAGAGAAAAAAAAAGAATACATTTACTATGTATGTCACAAATGGAAAAGAATAACCACGTTGCATAAACACAACTTTAAAAAATCAAACTCATAGTGGGCCATATTACTGTTGGGTTTTGTTTTGTTTTTTAAAGATTTTATTTATTTATTTGACAGAGAGAGACACAGCGAGAGAGGGAACACGAGCAGGGGGAGTGGAGAAGGAGAAGCAGGCCTCCCGCTGAGCAGGGAGCCCGATGCGGGGCTCGATCCCAGGACCCTGGGATCATGACCTGAGCCGAAGGCAGATGCTCAACGACTGAGCCACCCAGGCACCCCATGTTGGGTTTTGTTTTTGATGATGAAACAGGAGTTCATAAAAACAGCGTATAAGGAAAGAAAAAAGAAGGACAAGTGGGGCAGCTATCAGTCCCATATAAATCATGTAGGGCACTAACAAAAACACTAATCATTAAAAAGGCAAAGTTGGGACCAGCCTGTATGCCTCACCACCAACATTGCTTGGGAGACCCACCTCCATTTGGGTTTTGATTTCTTCCTGTAAAATGAGGGGGCACTGTGCGTACCCAAGACTTGTAAATGCACTGTGAAAACCATAAAGCACTGCCTATGTTAAGTGCTTCAAAGCAAGGGATAAAGCAACTGCTCTCGATATGGCACCCATGGTTCCCCCGTCTCAGGACTCGGTTCCTGGGCTACTCAGGCTGCCAGAGAGACTCACCTTGTGACCTGGTACTTCTGTCCCTGGCACGGCTTTCACATGGAAATCCACCACTCCCATCTTTTCCAAAAAGCTGGTGTTGCCTATTGTTGATTTTTCTTTCTTTGCTTTTGCTTCTTCTCTCTCCTGGGCCAATCTGAATTAAAAAAATATAAATAAGAGTTAAAATAACCAACCACACTATTAAGTGTTTTGTTTTTAATACCGTAAAGCTTCTGACTTTATAGTGATCATTTAGGACCTCTCAATTTTCTCCTGCTTACTTTTAGCATTTTCTCCATCCTCAATCCCTTCACTCTTCATGAAGAAGCGGTGTCTTTGAGAGCCCAATCTGCCAATCTGATTATTTCTACCCTCTTAATGACGGGAACGCAGAATGCCATCACAACATTCCATTTCAAACTCCCCCACCTTATTCAGACCTGGACAGCTGCACTGACCAGTCCTCAGGGGCCTCTTTGCCTCTGGTCTGTCTCCTTTACATTCCACTTCCCAGAATGATGGTCAGACTCAAGCTCCTCAGGCATGCCTGCACAGAAACTCCACAGTATCAGCACAGCACGCCCACCCTGCTCAGGACCGGGTCTCCAGTTCCTGCACAGAGTAGGCACTGAATTGCTACGGAATAAAGTCCCATCACTACCCTGTCCACAGAGGCCCTGAGCTGAGGAACAGTCAGCGTCTCACCAGACCACTCCTTCAAAACATGCCTCCAGTAGGCTGCTCGCCACTTGTTTCAGACCTTGCCATTTCCTGGGCCCAGAACAATCTAACCAACCCTCCCAGCTGCTCCAGCTGTACGTCCCTAAGCTATTTCCAATTTAGAAAACTCCCAAACCCATATAATCTTTTCTCCCTGACAATAATACCTTGCAGGATCTTAAAATGCTCTAATGGTTATTACACTGTCTTGTTCTTAAATCACTTGCATAATTAATCTCATGCCTCTCATACAGGGACTTCCTATTATCTTCGTGTCTTTATATGACTCTAGCATTAACAGCCAAAATCAACACAAGCAATTTGCTAATGTCTATTAAAACGTTAAATGTACGTAACCTATGATAAAACAACTTTCCTGTGGACATAAACCCAAGGAACCCATGGACTATGCAGGAGTCATTCTCAAGGGTCAGGTATTATGAGAAGTGGAAATAGTCTAAATGTCCATCATCACAGGGGGATAACCAAATACCCTGTGGTATAGCTATTTTCGGGAACGTACTAAACAATCATTACAAAAAAGGGGGAATATCTACATCCCCGCAGAAGGATGTGTTTACAAAGATGAGATAAGTATATATTTTTTAGGTTATAACACATGTTGGGGGTGCCTGGGTGGCTCAGTCGGTTAAGCGTCTGCCTTCAGGCTCAAGTCATGATCCCGAGACCCTGGGATGGAGCCCCTGCTCCCTGCCAAGCCTGCTTCTCCCTCTCCCTCTGCTGCTCCCCTTGCTTGTGAGCTCTCTCTGTCAAATACATAAAGAAAATCTTAAAAAAAAAACCATGTAAATGCACTGCATTATCTTTTTTGGTGGGTCTGGGGTTGTGGGGAGTCACAGTTGAAAGGGATTTTGCTCTATTTTTCTTTTTTAAAGAAAGGTAATTTTATTTTTAAATTTTATTTATTTATTTGAGAGAGAGAGAGAATGAGAGTGAGCACATGGGAGGGGGAGGGTTAGAGGAAGAAGCAGACTTCCCAGTGAGCAGGGAGCCCGATGTGGGACTTGATCCCAGGACTCCAGGATCATGACCTGAGCCGAAGGCAGTCGCTTAACCAACTGAGCCACCCAGGCACCCCTGGTTTTAGCTCTATTTGTAATGTTTGAGTTTGCCAAGTATATAATAACATATTACTTGAGAGTTTCAATCAATTAAGTGAATATATAAAACCAATTACAATAGAACGAAATAGAGTTTAAATCCATGCAGAACAAATCTTACCTGTGCAAAAAACTTTGTTTTGCTAGCTGAATTTGTAGTGTTCCACCTTTCCATTTTGTTTTATTTAAAACAGACATACCTGTAAAGTAAAGAATTATTACTCAAATATACGGCAATGCAAAAATATATGGCAGCATGTGCTTTTTCTAATTAGTACCAAGAAAAGTACATATTTTTCAAAAAGAGACACAGAATAAAAAAACCACGACCTGGGGAGAAAAGGCCTAGCTTCTGGTCTCAGCTGAGCCACCTACCCCAGGAGTCCTCAAGCTCCCTATCGTCCAGCGCTCCTAGAAGAACTGAATGAAGCAAACGTGTAAAATGTAAAGCAAAATTTATCATTCCTCCACAAAGTGATACCAGAAACCTCTGGTGAATGACTGACATTTATTTAACATTTTATTGTTATCTCCCACACTAAAACTATAAAACGTGAATGTAATTTCGGAGGGTGAATCAGAGGATGATGAAATCCTGTAGAATTTTCATTTATCACCCCACAGTAATTATCACTGTGTAACTTGCAAATAAATTAGCTGCAGATAACTAAACTGTGTTTCGACTCCTACGCCCCAGATGCTGATTTTTCTCAATCGCTGCTACCAGCTTTGTTAGTAATAACCACAAGCGGAATTTCTATATGGTCGCTACTATACTAAGTACAAACGTATTACTCAATTTAACCTTTGCAGTGATATCATGACGTCAACATTATCTTTGTTATATACCAGGTAAGTAAACTGGGGGTTCTAGTTTAAACAACTTGTTACAGATCACAGCAGAGCTGATGTGCTTTTAACCACCACTTGTTTCTCACTGAATGAGAGGATAGATTAATTTTTTTTCCAATGAGAACATAGAAGGCTGATGGACCTCTTTCTCCATTAGCATGTTCTCTTTTCAGTGTCTTAATTTTTCAGACTCTAGTAACTCGCACACATTCTTGCATCAGTGGCTGCACCAATTATCTCCCCTTCTTTCTTTGTTGAAGGCCAGTTTGCACTCAGCTCTACTAAACTTACTGATAGAGATTTCATAATTTTAAGGATTTGGTCTTATAAGGGCATACTGTGAAGCCCTCTCCTAATGGTACTTAATGACAAGAATTAGCTGCCTCAGAAATGAACACACCAGGGAGGGGGAGTATGGCATAATATCCAATGGGCTATGTGTTAACAGGCAGTTTCTATTAACATGTGTTCTCTTGTCCAAAATATTTGAGAATCCATTTTTGAGCAATGTGCTGCCATATGTCTGCTCACACCAAATGGGATGGACCAAAACCTGCTGAATTGTAGGGTGTTGGAGTTCTCTCAACCATGGCTATTTTTCTGGATATTTTGCAAGTGGCTGTTAAGGTTTAGATTTAGAACGAAAGTTATTCCAAGTTACACAGTGACATGAAATGGCAAATAGAATAGAAAGCATATAGAAAGCAAATAGAAAACAAATCTTACATTTGTTCAGATCTGCTTCTGCTACTCTGATGTTGATATATGCAAAGACTTTCTGTGGGTTTCCTAAAAGAAAAAAAAATTATTTCAACTTTTACCCAGAGAACAATGTAAAAATGATCAAGTTTCTAAATTTAAAAAATGACTCTTAGAATTTTATTCTTTCAAAGAAAATTCTTGTTTAGTTTTTATTGGATACAAAGATTGCATTTTTCTAAGCATGTTTATAAAAATATTCCAAAAGAAATTAAGCCATCAGTTAAAGAAATGTTTCAATTGTTGTATGTTAGTAATATTCTATCTAACATGACACCTAGTAAATATTAGAATTCTAGCTTTGGAAATTAAAAGTTGCATGTTTCAGAAAGCAGATGTTTTGGAATTTAGAATGTCTTTTAATTTCAGAAATGTAATTCTGGGCAGGTTCCACATTTTACATAACACCTTCAGGGCATAGGACAGGGGTTTGGCACACACAGACTGGTATCTTGTAATGAAACATGTATCACTTTCAGCGTTAGGGCTAACATTAACTCTGGGGTTCCACTATTTTGTGATACTTGATATAAATTTTATCTGCCCTTAACGACCCACGAAGGACTATAAACTCACCTTGGTCATCTTTTCGTGTGATGATCTCCACATCAGAAACTTCTCCAAATCTGCTGAACTGATTTTGTAGGTCTGCCTTGGAAATGTTCTGACCAAGGCCACCCACAAATAGGCGCTTCACTTCTCTGTTGGCTTTCATGAAGGCTGCGCATACACTCAGTGTGTTCTAGTGAGAAAAACAATTTTCTATGGAAGAGTTCCTTCCCTTGGTTCTTTTCATATCTGAAAAAAGCTCCCCAACTCCTTTCCCTGCACCTTCTATGTCAAATTGTTGGCCTGAACCTGTGTTTCATTTCCTATTGCAGTACCTCCAAATTTTATCTCTGGAGACTCTGCTCAAGCCCTAAATCCACGTTTTCCACAAATGCACTTTGGAACAGCACCTCTACGCACATAGACACAGGTACAGGCAAATTCTTTCCTTCTACATGACCACAATATTATACTCTACCCCCTCTTATTTATTTATGCATATTTTTAGGTGTTTTTCCTTTATTCATCCACACATTCATTTATTCACTTTAACAAAAGCTGACAGGAATGGGATGTGGCCGGTTAACATGCTAAAGACAGCTCTCCATTCTGGAGCTCCTCAGAGTCCTCTGACATGTACACAGATGCTACAATTACAATGCTATGTGACAACACAAGCCTCTGCAAAGTGCTGTTCAGTCACAGCGAGAGCAATTGATACCACAGCTAATACAGGCTTTTTTTTTTTTTTCACCACGTGCCAGCGTTGTACGAGGCAGTTTCCAAGCCTCTCGTTTTTCAGATGAGCAGAGAGGTGAAGGCATCTTCCCAATGGCATTCGGAGAACCAGTGGTGAAGCCACAACTATAAACAGATCCAGTCTCAGAATCTGTAACTGGTAACACTACACCAGGGAACTTGTTGGATTAGGACAGACTCAGGAAAACGCTTCCAGAGTTACTGAGATTTAAGGCCCATCATGAGACAGGCGCTCAGCTCGGACCCTGCCCTTCCCCAAGAACTGACAGGCCCTCCCACGCGCGACCTGAAAACAGCGCCCAGAAGCCCAAGCAGGGCTGGTGCTCCGGGCGTGAGCCACGGCCTACATCTTTCTGGTAGCCTCCCCAGTCCCCAGCCTTCTTCCTCCTGAAGACCCAAAGGCTGCCAAATGACCCCGTCACTTCCTATGCCCCAAACCCACTCCTCACCACGTCGTCTTCGGTACCCAGCGCCGCCCAGGTCCCTAACTTCCAGTCACGTGGCCCAACAGGAGAGATCTGTCTTCCTTCCTACTGGATTCCCAATCCAGCCTCCTAAGGTTCCGTGACCATACTCAGTTCCCGAGTTCTCTTCATTTGGTTTGCGGTCCTTTGGAGTACGGCGAAGCCTCCGTCATCCTGCCCTCAATGCGCAAAGGACTCAAAACGGAGACTCCCTAATTCGTACTAAAAACGATCAGAGCCTCCGGTTCTTTGACTCCTGGACAAAAAGGCGGAAGTGACCGAACGGACGGAAAATACAGAGGCGGTCACGTGGTCCCGGAACCGCCTCTCCGATGACGTACTCGCCCGGGTGGATCCAAGGTCCACTGGAGCGGGGTGGGCTGCCGCGCCCTTGGGCTTCGGGTTGGAGCAAGCCAACTCTCTCGGAGCGCAGGGACCGCTGGGGGCCAGCTGGGGCTAGGACCGCAGCGACGGCCTCAGCCCGGGATACCGCGCGCGGGCGCGGGTGGCACGCGCGGGGGTCCCACTCCCCCGCCTCCCCCGCTGAGTTCCCGGATGGTCTGCGCCCGCAGCGCGGGAGGCTTGAAGTGCCCGGCGAGGCGCTCACCTCTCAGGTCGTTGCTCGTTAGCGCGGCGCCATGGACGCTCAACTGGCCGAGGTCCGCGCCTTGGAGGCTGAGATCGCTGCCCTGCGGCGGGCGTGCGAGGAACCGCGGGCGGCGGGGGAAGACAGTTGGCGAGCGCAGTACGTGCTCCCGCAGTCCCTGGGGGCGGGTGAAGGGCTCCGCCGGCCGCGCACTCCCCCACGTCTCCCGGGCGCCGAGGGCTCAGCTGTCCACGCCCGGCCCCGCCGCAGCCAAGTGTCGGGCTGGCGGAGGAGAGCGGAAGTCTTCGCCGTCTCTTTCGCAGGCTCCGGGGCGGGCGGCTGTGCGGCTTCCTGGCGTGTGTCGCTGCGGGCCACCTGAGGGGGGCAGTTGACACTGGCAGTGGGGCTCCTTTTGAGAAATAACTGAGGATGGAAATGTGCAGGAGACTGGGAGCGCTGCGCGGGCGGTCAGGGGAGCTCGCGGGTGTGCGGGGGAGCGCCCCTAGGTGTGTGGAGCGTCCGCGGGTGTGTGTGTGTGGGGAGTGCCCGCGGATGTGTGTGTGGGGGGGAGCGCTCGCGGGTATGTGTGTGTGTGTGGGGGAGCGCCCGCGAGTGTGTGTGTCGGGGGGGGGAGCGTCCGCGATGTGTGTGTGTGGGGGGGAG